GTTCTGACAACCTATGATATATATATATTTTAAACAAAAACACTAGCAATAATGGTGTCAAAACAGGCAATTACAACTGGATGGAGTCAAGTTTGTCAAACTAGTATAGTATTTTAAGAAATAAACAGCCAAAGCTTGTTTTTATTTAATAAAAATTTAATATCGTCACAAAACTTTAAACCGAATATTAAGTAGAAAATACTAAATAATAACCAAGAATAATGTATAAATATATTTATTCACCGAATAAAGAACGTTGTGTTCTTATTTTTGTTTCATACTAACAAGGCACAATGAAAGACAGAATACACTGATAGAAATATCAATAACATGGAATCAGTAGACATCAATACATAAAGGAAGTTCATTGTTCATCCTTTTTAACGGAGAATTTGTATTTTTTACGCTTTTTTTGGACAAAAACTCACACCTAATAGTAAAAGTGGAACTAATATGTTACACAAAAACATGATCTTCTATTAGTACTTCGTAAAACTAAACAGTATTTAGAAAATGCACCATAAACCTTTCAACAATTCAGCGGATGCATTTTGAATAACTGAGTCTTACAGAGTGATTTTTAAGACTTGTAAAAATGAACCTTTGCGCATTTCAGCAGATATATCTCTAATATTTAAGATCAAAGCCCCTTTAAAGCTTTCGCCATTTCAACAAACAATGCTTTTTAAGGCTATTCAATGAATCGCTCAACATTTCAACAAGTTATTCTGAAATAGATGATGAGTTCCAAACGATGTGTGGTAAGTTTACTCTAAAACGCTTCCAACACTTCAATCGATATATGTAAGGAATTGTTGCAACGTTTACTCTTCATCAAAAGGAAATCCAGATCTCAAATAGATATCTCTGGTGTGTACAGAAGAAATCTCTGGGATGTTAACATTCAGTCCAGTTCACCAACACGGATGGTACTGTTGCTCTAAACATTTTTCAGCAATCAAGTGGATTTCTTTAGCATTTACATTAAGGGTTTTATTTAACGCAGTCTTCTTCATTACTTTCTCACGACCTCTGAAACCCAAATAGTCCAGGAAACGGTTTGTGTACGAATATTTCGTATATTTAAAGTTAAGCCATTCAACCTCTTCAATCAAGATACAGTGCAAGGTATTATTGACCTGATTATACTATAAGAATTATTCAAAAAGTTAGTTGATAAGCTACACGGATTATTTCAAATTAACTTTACTTTTTTTAGCATACTGATGACTTCAGGAATACAATTGTAATATAGTTCAATGAAGAAATGGTTGTTTAGCCCAAAGTTCTTAGGCTACATCTATCATGACTTATTGTTTTGCACGAAGCTTGAACATTTTCTCAAACACAAATGAAACTTTAGTGAAATATGTATGTATGTATGAAGAGGCAGATACAATCCATTTAAGTATTACTTGAAGATGTTTAGATATATTCTAAAACGGTTAAATTATTAATATTCTTCAGATATAACCTATAGTAAAATGCAGTCTGAGCCAAAACTAAAATAAGTCCAAAAGTCGATACCTTGGGATGGCAAAAGAACAAAATGTTGATTCAATGGTATTATAATATCTGCTGAGTACAGTTTCACTGGATAACGTTTTTAAATTTAGGTAAAAACCTAAGGTAAAGCTAGTCATTGAACATTCTCTACAGTGACCGATAAACATTTGAAGCTCATCTACGTAACAAAGAGCCCACAACAACAACGGGAAGATGCTGAAGATGATCGTGAAAACTAGTAATATGGAGTTATGGATGTAGTGTTTCTCTGAACTGGATAAAAAAAATGTTTTGTTTTTATTACACATGAACATCAGAAATGTGTACATCTTATTTGATATTTCTACAATATCGTACATGAAAACATACGAAATAAAACAAAAGGATTTAACATACTAAAAGCTGATCTTTTTAACGTTATTTAACTTATATTATTTATAGAACCTAATGGTCTTTATCCAAAATTTTAAACACTAATTATTATATCCAGGTTTACAAGTAATAACGTGAACGCAGTAAAGGCAGAATATAATGTAAAACAGTGGTGCAACAGAAATTATAATCTGAAAATACACGTAGTAATTAAGATGAGATTGATTCAATTTGTTAATAAGCGAAAGAAACAGTGGTGAAAAAAATAAAGAGAAGTGACTGTGAAATAAATTCCAATAAAATGTCAGTTTAAAATTAGAGAACATAGAATTATTGTACAACAAAAATGTAGTCAACTTTACCTTTCAACTGTAACCTCTCCGCATACTCTCAGCCAAACTACCAGAATCACCACCCCGCAAAATTCCCTGTAATAAAAACGATCTCAGCAATATATTAATTGTAGTCAGAACAAACTGGAAATCTAGGCAAGCCGCTAAAACTAAACTTTATTTCATAATTTCTAATTCTATCAATAGTCCATGGTCAATGACTGTTCAATAATAACTGATAAATATTTCAAACACGCCTTTCATGTGTAATTTCAAAGACTGTGAAAGGGCGTAAGTATGAAATTTAGGTATTGTAGTAAAAAAAAAACAAATCTCAACCATTATAAATCTTAAAATATAATAGTTCATAGTAAATAGAAAGAAAAACATTAGTAAAAAGCGAACAAGGAACAGACACAAAATACTCAAGTAGAGAGGGCACTGTCCTAATATTATTGATACTTGAAATCGTCGGTACTTGGTGAAACTCCATAATTACAGAATTGGAGGAAAGAAACCAAGACAATTGTATATTTCACAAATACTTCAAGTACCTGATGATGTCTTTACTAGCGAAACCATGGTCGTTAATAAATGAAGTATTTGTGAAACGTACAGCTGTTTTAATTCTGTAATCAATATTGTTTAAACGAGTCAGCCGATAATTTTGAACGATAAAGTTTCCATCAAAATATTCTTGGCTAACTGATGATGGCTTGTTCATGCCATATTTTGTCTATCTGAAATAGTGCCAAACGTATTACTTCATTTACACAAAATTCCAGATTACACCACTTTTAAACTCGGTTCTTCTTTAGTCATTACTATCTTCTACCATTTCTGATGCACCCTCAAGAGATAAACATGGATGTTTCTAATGAATCTAATGTGTTTATTCAGATTATTATCTCCTGTTTAAAGCCTAGCTCAATACATAACTTATCTATCAAACTTTGTTTCTTATCTTAGGTCCTCGGACAGCACAATTTACGCTATCGGTGCTTGGGTCATGGTATGGTCTGGACCTTATTAACTGCACTGCACAAAACAGTTAAAGGAAAACTGGAGTTTATAACATTTGAACTATGGAAAGGCAAAACTACTGTTATAAAATAAAGCCGATCTTCCTAATTGTTTTTTATACAAATAAGGTATTTAATGATCTACGCTCGTGAATATCTGAACAAAGTGGTTTTGCATCTTTACAGTTCATGACATTTTATTTCAATGTGGAGTATGAGCACTACGAACAGCAAGGGTAGCCTGGCACCAACGTTGCACGCTTAAAATTATAGTATTAATAAGGTCCTAAGGTATTCTCAACCATCCTTCTGAAATAACTATTTACAGGCCATCTTTAGTGTCTGGAAACATTTGACCGGATATAACGCTTCTCTCAAGAGACACCCATATATACTCGATAAAACTAGTAAACGTACAAATCATTCAGTTTGGCCAATACTTTTTCTTTAATGCAAATGTAGGTCATTTTAGCTTGTGTAAGTGGGTATCGTCATCCATTAATGTGAAGTCAGGGCCAATTGTAGCAGCATACACACGAAAAAAGGGTCTTAGGTTTATTTCTTATTATTTCTAACTGTCTGTGTACTCCACATCATTCACTTGTGGCTGTAAAGATCTGATTCACTCTCGGAACAGATACCCTACAACAGATAACGGTCGTCTGCTTGTGTTGTGGATGATTGCGTTGTCAAGGTATCTAAACGAATGTACCATTGGTTTTGAAGCAGTTACACATGCCTTTAAAGATATTTTGAGACACTTATAGTCACTTGTAACAGCCTGCTGTGATTGACCAGCTTTCATTTGTCTAATGTTTCTTCACACGGATGAAATTTTCAAATGTGTTTTTCGAGGTTTAGCAATAGTTCAAGAACAGTTTGTAGCTCTTAAAGTTCTGTGGTATGAGGCTACTATGTATATGACATGGACTAATTGATCGATCAGTCACTGGCCTTTCAGATCACATAATTAATCATCAAATGCCTGATTTACATACATTCAACTGAGAAGCTGGTTGACATTATTCTATGATAGTGGTTTTACTTCGTAATGAGTATGGTTTTAGAAATTCTTGTATTGAGCAGTGTATATACATTTTCTATTATATTTTTGTGTATCCATTGTTTATGGCTCAAACATTAATCATGAAAGAAAAGGAATAAATGAACAAGTTTTTATTTATTTCTAAGTTTATAACAGTATGAAATGTAGAGTTTATAAAAGTATTTGGGTTTATCAAACTGAACTTGTGAAAAATAGACTTCGATTTCTACTTCATTTGGGCTAGCCATTAATAATGTACTGGTGTTCAGCATATAGTTAGTGAAATCTTTGTAAACAGAACGTAGTGGGATTTTAAATTTGCTGTAATCCTCTATCTTAGATAAAAGTTACGTTGCTCTGTTTGGGTTGTACTTGCTTGGCTCTGTTCCATGGCCTTCTAGAGTGAGGCCATAATCATTTTGAGGGGTAGATGAGAAGCTTGCACAAGTAGTATGACATGGGGTTCGTCTCTCTTGAATATCTCTAATGGGAAAAACCGTTGTCGTAGGTGATCTAAAAATTGTGGGATACCAACTTAAAACTTGGATCTCGTTTTAAAGTGTGGTATCATTATGACCCTGATGCCCTCTAGTTTTATAAATTTAGGGTCTTCGGACCCATATATTTTAAATTTTTAATAGCATGAAACAAACAAACACTAAACATGCTGAAAAAACCGACATCATTAATTTCTGAAAATTACAGGAGTGCATAAACATGGGAAGATTTCTGTTTAATTATTTTAAGGCTCAGAAACTAATTATCGACGTTTCGTTTACCACAAAGAAAGCACTTGCAGTCCACGTTTGAAGTTCACACATATTATGCATTTACATCCGCTGTAAGATAACAAAACATAACTTTGAGTGATTTGAAGAATAACGCGTAAATGTATTTGCAGCAAACGTTAAAAATTGTCAGGTACTTGTGGGTCGCAAAACAATTGTGAAGAAAATTAGTCTACCAAAATTAACTTCTTTTGAAGTACTGAGAAAGATGCAAACTGTCAGCACTAAATAAGGTAAAGGATACCTGAGATAAACAGTAATAAGTTCTTAAAGTTTGTATGTAATGTCAGTGTAAGAGTTTCAACCGTTGCAGTAAAAAAAGAATGAATAGTAGACTAAGACTAGGAACTACAAGATCGTTTAGACTAATAAACTTATCGTTATTAATTTTCAATCTAAGAAATTATATGTTAGTTAAAGTTAGTCATTAATATAGTAAAAATGAATTGTTGAAAGTGGAACAATATTAATCTATAGATAGGAGAAAGCTGGCTCTATAGCAATTTTGTCTTATGACCTATGGGCATATATTGATTTTTATGTTGAAATATCAGATTACATTGCTGTTCTATGCTTTAGAAAATATAAGGTACGTTTTATCAGACCGTTTGAAATCACGCTGATAAAAAAAGAGAAAGAAAAACTACAAAGTAAGAAAACTCTTGTAACTTTATAGTGATGAAACACCAACAGATTCACGTGTCACTGATTTTTTCTTATTTAAGATCCATTTTAAAATCTTACAAGACCGTCTTCCTAGAAATGTGATACAGAACTCTTGGATATCAACAGAATACAGTATCATTGGATGATAAACCAAATACACCTGGGTTATACAACTGAAAAATGCATAACATTCAATATTAACCGCATTATATACATTAAAATGCAAAACTAGGTTTTGTAATCTTAATACATTGGCTAAAACTTGGTAAGCAATTACCTTGTACATTAAATTATTATGCCAAAAAACAACAAAAACAATAATAAGATGTTCATATTTTTGGCTTTGTAGCTTACTAAAGTGGCCTTCTCAACAGAATAAATATGGGGAAAAATTAAGATTTTAACGGAAACTAACGATCGTTGGTTATTCTGGCTTTGTAGCTTACTAAAGTGGCCTTCTCAACAGAATAAATATGAGGAAAAAATTAAGATTTTGACGGAAAGTAAGGATCGTTGATTATTCTGGCTTTGTAGCTTACTAAAGTGGCCTTCTCAACAGAATAAATATGAGGAAAAAAATTAAGATTTTAACGGAAAGTAAGGATCGTTGATTATTCTGGCTTTGTAGCTTACTAAAGTGGCCTTCTCAACAGAATAAATATGGGGAAAAATTAAGATTTTAACGAAAAGTAAGGATCGTTGGTTATTTTAGCTTTGTAGCTTACTAAAGTGGCCTTCTCAACAGAATAAATATGAGGAAAAAATTAAAATTTTAACGGAAAGTAAAGATCGTTGGTTATATAGAATTGCTATAAGACGTATCCAAAACAATATAAATGCTGCAATAAAAAGTACACAAACAAGTAAACAGATACTACTTAGATAGATTTTAAAACAATTTTCAATCCCTACGTATAGCTAAATTAAAATTAAAATCGCTTTATAATCTATCCAACTGGTATCACTTTACTTGTTTCTGTACTTTTTTATTGCAGCATATATTTTATTTTGAATACTTCTTATAACAATTCTACGAATAACCAATGATCCCTACTTTCCGTTTTTATTTTTCTATTTATTTGTTCAGTTTTATATGTCCATGCAATAAACACAACATTGTAACGAATTTGTTATTATATATTTATTTTAATATCAACGTTTGTTTACATTAAATGTATATTTAGAAACA